CCCCCGGGCTCGCCGACAGCCTCGCTCAGGGTCGACACGAGGTTGCGTTGTGGGTGCTTCGTCCTCTTGCTTGCCAAGCTCCAAGGCGACAAGTTCGGTCCCTGGAAGAAAAGCCCAGGAGGCTTTTGGCTGGGAACCCAGAAACCCGGAGTAGCCCTCGGGCTTCCCAGGGGACAGCCAGACCCTCGCGACGGAAACATGGCCACCTCCCCAACAAGTCACGCCTGTATTTCCTCTCATCCCTCCTCCTCTTCCAACTCGCACCACTTGGGTGAGAGAAACACACGGTAGGGTGTCCCTTAAACAACACACCAGGTGTTTACCACAGAGTAAACTTGGGAAAAAAAAAAATACACGACTGGAACAAACCCTGGATTCGAATCGGAGAAGGCAGGAGATCATTGTCTAAGGGACAAACCTCTGGACAGTCCCCTTCCTTTGAGCAATTAAAGTTTTACTAAGCAGTTGCAATTGAAAAACCAAAGATCTGTTTCACAGACCCCAATAATAGGAAGTCATCTCTCCTTGTAAAGAAAGCATCTGTCTTCAGATCCCCTTCTAAGACAGGATACTGCCAAAATATTTTTGAATTCATCGCAAAAATGTTTCTGCTGATAACTTCCAGAGGATGAACTTTGTTTTACAGCAAACACCCTTGAACCCCCACCTCCTCCCAGCCCCGCGGGGTGTCCCTGCTACCACGCAGCACCCCAAGGCCACCCTGCTCCCCTGTCTGCGTGACAGCCGGTGTGCCCTTGCTCTCTCTGAGCACCACCGCACCCAGCTACTGCTGTACATCCGCCCAGTTGTAGCCTCCATCCCAAGTGGTTTTGTCACCCGCTTCTTGCCTAATGCAACCAACACTCCTGCAACCCAGTTTCTGTTCTTTATTAAACACTCTTAATTATTCATATCCCATACTTCAAAAAGTCTGTATTAGGTTCTTTTACTTCCAGATACATATGTTACTTTTTATTACTCTTCAGTATCTGATGAAAGTAAACTCATACCCACTTACTAGTTGTTAACACCTTTGAGCTTTATCAATTTTTTCCCTTGTCTTTTTAAGCAGGTAATAGAGATTTCTGTATTATTTTAAAATTTTACTTTCAGAAGAATATCACATTTGCATTTTCTTCAGTACACATTCAATTCCGAGTGATGTCAGGAAGATATTCCTATAGAAAAGCAGGAAGAACAACTCCTTCCACAGGTACCTAACACATTAAAAGTGGCCAAAAAAAAAGTTACAGTGCAGGAACTACATATTAATTAATAGTTTTACTATTCTTGAGTTACTATTACTTTATTCTTGATTGGAACTGGGAGTGATGTGCACACAGGATGGAGCCTACTGTCCATAGAGTCTCCTGTTCGATGCCCGTTTGCTCTCCACCACCAGAAGGATACCCTGGGTGTTCATACAAGCAGAAGGAATAACTACTGTGTAGTAGTTCACCTAGTAATTAAAAATCAGTTCAAAGCAAGCACTTTAAATCTCTTTTCCGGGTAACCAGGTCTCTTGCCTAAGCCCCCTTTCTTTCAGAAGTAATTTCACAGACATCAGATCCCAAGCATTCTTCAATAATTTATGGACTAGAGGGTAACAAATCTTTTTCATGAATATCTGTAACCTCTTACTAATAAATAATTAACTCTCTGCTCATTAACAGTACTAAGAATAAAAAAGCATTACATTTCGCAACACGGGAATTTTTTTAGTTTCATTGAGCCTCCTTACATATTTCAGGAATGCTAAGATTTGATATAGCAAGTGTTACAATATTAAGAAATTCCAACTAATAACATGACCAATAAAATTTATTAAACATTATATTTACAACTATTTACATATCCCTCCATAGATTAATATTAAAATAGACAATATACAATTTAAGAATTTTCAAAGGCATTTTGTTGGAAAAAATAGGCTCTATTACGAGACCACCATATAAGAGCAAAAGGGTTTTTTTGTTTTGTTTTAACCAAAAATATTTTCAGTATAGTAAGTCATAGGTATGGCATTACAACAGCAGACTAATATGAAATATGATTTTGTAAATATTACAATTGTTTAGGTATCAGTTATTGAAGTAAAGGAGTTAAGAGTTCTGTGAAGCATGCAATACAGTTCAGTTTCAATTCTTTTACAGTTATGGTGATGAAACAAGCAGCTAAATCAAACACATGCCATACAAAAAAAAAAACAACCTGCCAACCAGAAACACACTACACTTAATAAAACCCACAACTTTGGTCCAATAAAACATTAGACAAAACCAGTTTTACAGTTAAAATATCTATTTTATACAGGTTTGAACATTAATTATAAGACTATTTACATTTGCACAATAAGTATAAAATAAATTATTTAAAAATGAAGACAATATTACATCTTTTTGCAAAAAGAAAACTGTACAGTAATTTACAAAATATAATAAGATTAATAGACTCTTTTCCTCCAAGTCTTACATTTTCTTCCACAGGCTTTTTCATCATTTTTCTGTGGGAGTTCAACTGTTACTGAAGTTTCATAATACAAAGCTTTATAGCAGATTTTAAGTATAATTTGTTTTTTGGTGGCTGTTTTAGTTATTAACAGCTTCCAGCGCTGTTAACTCACCATGTTTCACCAGCTTTTTCAGCAATAAGCTCTAATGCTATAGGCAATTTTTAAAATACAGATAATGGCATTTACTGGGACACTGACTTTAAAATTAGCATCCATCTTCCAGGTTTGAAGAAGAGCCCGTGCCGCACTTCTCTGAAGGAACACCTGAATTATTGAGAAAGGTAGTATTCCACAGAATTAAGTGCTCTGTCTCAAGAGAAAAATACCTTAGTATATCACTGCGCCTCAGTCTCTAGTTGTCCAAGGGAAAGGGGGAGCCAGAAGACGCTAGTTGTCATATTGGCGTCAATTCAAAGTCATCATTAACATCAACAAGAGGAACATAAAACTCCTGAATTTCATAAATGCTGATAGATTTGTATGTAGCAGGATCAAGTTCTTGTAGTTTAAGCTGCCACTCCAGTCTCTGTACCGCATTTAAAGCTGCTGCCTCATGCTGCTGCCTCATCAAAAGGCATGTCTATTTTAAAATTGGGAAAGAAGTTGTTTTAGTATTTGGAAAAATATCACAAGACATTTGAAAACAGAGAGGAGCCTCTCTGGTGATAGTGACTTCCCTGCTATGTCTTTAGAAATTTGCAGAATATTCCATTAAACTATATAGCAACAAAGGTTAATTTTTATACTGCTGGACTCTCCTTTGTGTTGCCCTCAAAACCTCTACAATAGCCTATAATATTGCATACAAATGTATTTATTAATCTATTTATTCATCTCATCTCCATAGTGACATTAGAGATTTGGGAGTTTTTAAACAGAAAGACAAAGAAGTATACCTTTAATTTGTCAAACTTATCATCAACGTCCTGTAACCATGACATAAACTGCCTTGCATTAAATCGATCCCTCACTGATGTTTTGCTGTCATCAGCCTGCAAAAAAAATAAAAAAAATTATTCAAGCTGTAAGTTATTTAATGTTTCAATCTTAAACATAGTTTAAATAATAAAACCCACTTAGTGGGACCTTCATAAGCAATGCTTCAGGTGGAAAAATAAACTCTCCATGTATCAAGGTATGCGAGCATATATATGTTGACCACCACTTTCACTGTGAGCCAGTTGATCAATAAAAATGAGTATTTTTAGATTCCCTCAAGCTATTTACTGTACTCTATTTTTGAAGTTTAGAGCAGGAGGTTTAAAGTTTTATGCCTTAAAGTCTTCATCAGTACAAGGCAGATCCTTCCACAAAATTGCTCTCTCTTTGGTCTCTAAAATTTAGTAGCAAATTAAATGAGTATTCCCTCAGGAAAAGCAAACACATTACTAAAGGAAAACTTAAGCAGCCTGACTTAACTGGCTACACAAGTATTCAAAAGCAATAATAAAAAAATATTTTTACCATCAAAATCCCCAAAAGGAGATTAAAAAAAAAAAAAAAGAGCAGACATGTCTTGCTCAGTGAAAAAAATATTTTTTAAAAAACCCTATTTAATAAGAATCTGGACTGTCACATCTGCCCGTAGTGAGAAACTAGATTATCTATAGTGCTAAAGGCAGACTATGCCAATTTAACATTTAAATAATAATCACTAAATCAAACAAGCTGCTGGTACCTTTTTAGGAAAAAAGAAAAAGACACCATAGGAATTTGTACGCTGTAGCAATGAGCAAGAACAGCAAAAAAACCCTGCAAGGACTGGAATCTCTAGAAAACATCTGAGACTTCAGATCTCAAGGACAGCTGAACAGGTTGGTTCTGGAAAGAGCCCTCAAAAACACTGATCTTGTAACCCTGAACCACGGGCACTTAGGCGAGCTGTGACCAGCTAACAGTCTGTTCTGCAGAAACTGGGCCTTCTTCCTCCCCCATCTTTGGTTGGGCCCTATGACTCCAAAGTATGGTTCTCAAGGTCTGCCCAACACGTGCAGCCATAAAGGCAAGCCTCCAAAGACTCAGAAATCCCATAAACCCAGTTCTGAGGCGGTCATTTTCCTGCAAAAGAAACCAGATCTTTGCTTACAAATCTTTCCCACCTATTTATTCAAATACAAGAAAATTTCATCAGAAATGTTTCTTCATTGTAGAACGAAGTTATGAGTCACTAGTGGGGTAGTGGCAGAACGCATTGCAAGAGAATGGTTTCTTATGCATCTACATTCTTCCCATGAAACAAATTTAAATCAAAGCATCAAGTTGGTAGTTTAAAACATTGATTTCAATTATAATTTAAAAAAAATGTAATACTTTGCTGAGCATTATGTCCAGTATTATAATTTTCTAAGAAAAATCACCACAGACTGAAACACAAAGCTGTTGAAGTAGTGAGGGTGAAGGAGAGGCATTTTACCACTACTATTTTTATTGCATGGATGGTCAAAAAAGCTGCAATACTTGGGAGAGGGGGAACCCACAACAACTTCTCCCCCAATAAAGATTCCTTTTGTTTCACAGAATTCAAATATAGAACCAGCTTATTTAAAATAAATTGCAAAATGTTACCTATAAAAATGCAGTTATATGCATAACTCAGATGTATCTCAAAGTTCTAAAAAGCTCAGGTCCTCTAAACTGGGGCACCAAAAAAAAGCAAAGGACATTCTGAACTTCAGAATTAATGATGATATTTGGACTGTTAACAGAAGAGGGAAAAAAAATATTCTAATTTTTGTCCTATCAGATTTACTAAGGAAATGATGATTTAAAAATTTGTCAGTGTAAAGCTTAAAATGGGAGAACAATACAGTCTCCATAAAACTGCTATCTACTGCTGAATCACCTCGTTGTGCATAGCTCTAGGTCTTTAAAGATGAGGAAAAAAATGTAATAACAGACTGAGGAAACACTGGAAGCTGTAATAATTCTACAAGGGGCTCCAGGACTAAAGTGGTGTTCCACATGTGTCGGAAATGTGTTTCATTTTAAAATGCCCAACATCCAAATCATCAGCACTTTTATCACATCTGTAACATCACATTTCTTCCTTGCGTTATGTGCTCTTCCCAGTCACTGAAACAGGTTCTGAATGCTGTTTCCATTTTTGTTAGCAGACATATTCACAAAATACCAACACCCTGAAATTATACTCTCCTAGAGATACGGCTGCAGCAAAGCACTCTTGAGTGGTGGTCCATAAAAGATATGCAGATTATAAAATAGATTGCTCATTTTAGGTTTTAATCGGAAACTAAATATGAACACTGAACATGCAAATAACACAGCGCACATAAATAATATGGCGCTTGAGCTGATTTGGAAAAAAATTTCATCTGGTAGTGTTCAACATTTCACTGTTGGTCATCTGTTTTTTATGGAACAGTTCTAACGTCTGCCTTATAGAGAGGAGAAAAGTATTAAGTGAATATTGCCACAAAACATTTCCAAATGTCACAAACCAATCTTATCACACACTACTGCATTCCATTTCTCTGGACTAGTGAGAAAAAGGATCTTATATTCTGATAAATTTTTTTGTTGTTTAAGCTATATTTGTAAGCTTCTGAAGAATGCTCTGTTTGAAATTTGATTTCATAAAAAACAGCAGAGTAATTTTCTCATTTTATCCTTCTCGTAATTTCTGGAGGTGAAGGAAAACCAGACATGGTACAAAACAGAAAACCAGTGTGCACGCACCCATAACCTCTTGTTATTGTACACCCAAATGAGGTCTAATCAAAGTAACAATCTTTAATGTGCAAAATCTTAATTCCAGACAAATCAATGACACTTTCAGTATGGGAACAGAATTCTATCCAAACACTCCTTTTGAGTCAGGCTAGAAAAACCTTTTTGCCTGAAATTCTGAAATACATCTCGTTACCTGAGCATCCAGAGGCACATTGTAAACCTCGGCATCCAGCAGAACAGTGCAGGCACTGAATGGTAGTGTTTGATTAGCTAGCGTTCTTGCTGCTCGATAATGAACACGTAGAACTTCTTGTTCATTAGAAACAATAAGCTTTTCCTAATTGAACAAGATACCAACATATAAATATACATTTGGTAAATTAAACATTTCAGTTTCATTCATAAAAATGTCCATTCGTGTAAACGTTTCTTTTTAGGGCTTACACTTTTGAAAAGCAAGGGATGAGCAGTTCTAATTAATCAAAGGCAAAATTTCAGTTTAATGATGCAGAGAGTGTTCCCTGAATGTCAGAACCAAAAACACCTTCTCTCCACTTCTGGCCTCCCCCCATTGGCAGAACATCATGCCCAGATTTTCCACTTAGTGCTACTGAGGCAAGTTCTAGTTAATGAATAAGGTGAAAGATGGAAGGTATGAGGAGCAGAGGGTTGGGATATAGGTGTGTGAGTCTCGACTATATTAAGATTTTTGTCACATGCTTGTCATGCCAGGCACAATGGCCAAGGAAACCAAAGCAGAAATATAATTTGCAGAATAATTTAAATATTTTGTATTTTTAAAAATTGATTTATTTTTTCTTTAAACAACGTGCAGAAACTCCATAAATGCATAGCTGGACAAAGATTCTTTCCTGAACTGAGACAAAAAAAATATAGCTCACTTGGCCAAATTTAACTTATAGTTATATAAAGTGGATTTGAAGAACAGTATATTTGAGCAAAGTAACTGAAAATAAGCAGAATTTATAAGATATAAAAGAATATATGCGTGTGTTTACTGCTCTGCAAATAATGGCTCTAATTTTTATCAAAAGAAGGTGGATTATAAAAAGCTTGGAAAACAGAAAAAGCAGCATCCTTCCTTTGGTTACAACTAATTTATTTTCAGTCAGAACTTAAACCACATTTACATTCTTTGTGCTTGTTTTTTTATACTTAGCCTTAGACCGAAATACTGAATTAAAATAAAAACCCTCCCTCAACTGGTTTGTTAAGCCACACTGAAATCAACTTAATCAAAAACCTACCACATCGGGTTTTAATGAGCCAGCTGCTTCTTAAATTACATTCTATGTGCAAAAGGGGTCCTGCCTGTGTCCACAAGCAATCTGGCTCACAACAGTGACAAGACGCCTAAATCTAGGCTGCCAAGGAAAAAGGTTTGGGCAACCTAAAAATAAAGAATACTCTTAGGCCAGAAATATTTTCTCAATTTCTGTGTTCGAATTCAGTGAAGCCTACAGAAGCAGTTCTAACATCATTCTGGGCAGTTTTTGCAAGCAGAATATTGAAAAAAATGTTTTAGTCTTACAGCCACGTGTCTTCTACAAATACAGAATTTACTCCTGCTTCAATTCTTTTAACTCAGTCAACATGATTCTGAAGTCGACAACAATTATTAGCTTTCTAAACTAGAGTCTGCAGCTTTCTTCCCACTCACCACTGCCCCTGGGAAAAACGTGGGCCACATCTTAGAGCAATTAACAGGAAAAAGCTGCACTCTTACTGACTTAAGTATTCTGCTAACAGTTGTCCAACCCCCCCTTTTTTTTTTTGTATTTACAAGTTTCTCCAATTCCTAAATTTGGATAGAAGGCGGATTATTTCTAGAGCATTGTTAAATTGAGCAAAATATAGTCTATCCATTGAAAAAAACCCTAAACCTTAAAGTTAGGAAATTAAAAAAATAAATTACTTTCGTCTTACCCTTTCAATACTGTGCTGTAAACGTAGTTTCATCCTTACAACCTCCTGTTGTTTAAATAATTCTTTAAGTGGGTCTGACAGTGAGGGAGGTGGTGTAATCTGTGGAAAAGGGTTTATAAATAGTACAGTGAATATGTATTTAACATACATTTAACATTGCCTGTATGATTTCAGCATTTATTAAAAACAAAGCAAGGTATTTTTTAGGGAAAATACGAGAGTTTTGTACATTCCATTAATTATGTGACTTCAATCCATTTGCAATAAAAGATTTTAAGGATTCTTTACCATAAAGTTAATAAACCCGACCAAAATAGCATTTCAAACTGTTCAGTGCTTTTAACCAGTCACTGTCAGCATGCCATAGCTGTTCTTTAAGACAGCTATACATTAGAAGATAGTAAAAATACAACTTGCTTTCAATTTTAAAGACTCTTTAAAGCACAACTGTTCATTTTGAGAAGTTAAAAACTGCCTAGCCAAATACAAGAGCAAAGTAAGACAAAGAAAAATATTGCTAAAAAAATAAGTCACTGTAGATATATCTATACAGTGTCACTGGTATTTTATATGGCACAAAAGATAACCAACCATATTCCTAATGTTACAATCATGCAGAACACAGGCAAGCACAAAAGTACACTAGAGCGCCAGGCAGTGGCTTGGAAAAGCGCTTCCTCCTGTCAGTTATTCAAATAGGTGTTTTTTAAAAGCTTATACAAAAAAAAAAAATCAAATAGACTTGAGTGAGCTATCAACACTTATTAATTTGCTAAACATTTTGCATTTTTAGTCAATTATAGTAAACAACCAGTATTACTGTCCTGACTGAGCTGTATGAAAAACACTGAAAAGGCACCTGGAGCCGTCATGGCAACTACAGAAATCAGATGTTTCTTGAGAAATAACTAATAAACATCTTGGGAGTTTTAAAGCTCCACCCAAAGTTTACTTTTCTCTCTGCAAGTTCTGTTTGACAGCTCAGCACAGCTTTTAACAACTGCTGGATGTAAGAGCACTGATACTGCCTTGGAAAGACTCATCAAAACTAAAGAAAATACTGCTTACTACCGCTAATGCTCAGAAACTGCAGCTGAAATACATACCTACAGGTATTATACTCTACCTTGTACCTAACACAAACACATAGACATAAATAATTCTATTCCATAATATGGATCTTGCAACTGTTCAAGAAATAACAAAGCCATTATGCAAATATGGACACATTGTATTACTACTATCAATCTTGCACCTATACACTCCAGTTACAAAGTGATTTATCTACCAAAAATTATTCAATTAGTGTTATCTTGGAAAATTATTTCAGGACAATTTTTTTCCCCAACTGGAAGTTAGCCAGTATCTTTGGAATTAAAGAACATATTCAATAAATGACTGCAGTGCATTCCTTAAATTATTATTTGGTATAAAATGACATTCAACTCCTTCATGTTTCAAACTTCTAAGATACACTTCTCAATGAAAACAGTTTGGCTCCCAAATTGGTGAGTAACATTATGGCATATGCTATTTTTGTGTAAGTCACCAGTATTAAAAACAAACTCAACAAAAAGAAACAACAACCAAAACCCAAACCACAAACACCTACTGAAATAATCTGTCTCAATCATAATGGATTTCAGCATGTTTAAGTTCAGCTTGAGATATACTGCAGTCTAGTTTTGCCTGGAAACTTTGCATTCAGTACAACAGTGCTACCACAGTCTTTCAATAAAATGAGATGAGGTGCTTGTGGTAACACCAAGCTTTTATTTAATTAATTTTACTACAGCCAAAAAGATCTCTCAAAAATCTCAGTGCTTTTGTTAATAGAGAAGCACACAGCATAAGAATATAAATAATCTGTCTATAAACAGTCTTTGAGTTTATGCAGCTAAGTTATTCAGAAATAAAAATTTCAGACCTGGCGAGCATCCGTATCACCTGAACAACTGCAAATGTTACTATAAAATGTTATTCCTTTAAAATTACAGACCGTTTAATTTTGCAACAGAAATACGGATCAGCACCATAGGAAATAGCTGGAAAGGACTTAATTATCTCCACAGTCAACTTGTGTGGACTTTTATTTGAACGTATAAGTGACCCCTGCCTCCGTGA